AGTAAATCGTCTATATGAATTTTCACGATTATTAGTGCGTAAATAATATATTTATAAGACAATAAAATGTAATACGCAAACAATTGAAGTGTACTTACCAATGAAATTAACTGTAAATTGTAATACATTCTAATTCAGAGTTGCCACAGAAAATGAATTTTAAAATTCCCTGACTTTTTCAGGTTTTCCAGATGAAAATGGAAAATTTTCCATGACTAATATAAAATATGTAAATTTTAACATTTAGAGTCAAAGATTGTAGGAAGGAAAGCTATATTATTAAAAACGCAAAAAAAGCTTAGTAGCATAGTAAAATTTTGGAAATTCAAGCCAGCAAAAAAAAATTAGTTTTGAAAAAAGAATGCAGTTACGAAGAAAAAGAGGGATCAAATAAAAATACTGAATAAAATATAAATTTGAATTATTTTGTTAAAATTGTTTAAAGTGCGCAAGTTTTGAACGTCAGATATAATATTTAAAAAATTATAACAATTATTTGAAATAGCAGCAGTTTAAGAAAATTGTAAGCAAATTTGGAAATTCCAGACTTTTTTTACATTTTCCCTTGATGTTTCCCGATTTCTATGATCAATTTCAATTTCCCTGACTTTTCCCGGTTTTCCCGGTTTTCCAGGTCTGTGGCAACCCTGCAATTGTTTGCGGATTATATTTTATCGTCTTATGAATATATTATTTATGCAACTGTAAAAGCTTATAAGTAACTTACTTATATTTTATATATTATCTAGTTAACATAACTATATACGAGTATATATGAAATTTGAAACGTATATATTTTAAATGCCATCTAAACCGGGATTATAATTCTCTGCACATACATATATATATATATATATGGGTATGTATGCGCAAAACATATATCTATATGGTCGTTGATCCCTGGTTAGAAGAGACAGTACTCCGGAGTTTCGCGTCAGTCGATCGGCGAACTTCGACCACGAAGGTCGTCGGAGCGCGGCGATAAGTGTACTTCGAATGTTCGTCGCGAGTGCAATGTTCTAATTACAATTAAATCTGATGGAACGCGCGAAGGACAATGAGTTCCCATCAAGCTCGATCTTACACGCGAATAAACGGCTTTTGGGTAAACGAGATTCGCTTGTCAATACACGTGATGTGTTCTGATAAGTTCATCGTACAGAATGCATGTGAGACATTTTTATTTTTATTTAAAAAAAAACATCATCCAAGCTCCATATCCATTTTATTTAAAAATTTTCTCAATTTTTTTGTTCTATTTATAAAAATATATTTTTTTCCTTCCGTTTTAAATATAATTACCTTTTATTAAGCACTTTGCAGTGTAACGCATGTCTTATTATAAGGATGTTTAATTTTCTTAATTGATTCGATTATTTAATCATAAATTGGGAATTGATTTCCGTTAGAAAGCGCATTCGTCAACGCTTTTATTTATACGCCAGTGTGAATTGGCGCATCGGTGTTCGAGAGAGCGGGATAAAATCTCATATAAGCATCCATAATTACATGTCGATTTGTTACGCGATATGCAGCTTTCAACCAATTTGTACACAAATATAATCACACATATATATAGATGTTTTATTTGAAATTTCATAAATCACAAAGAGATTGCTCTGTACATGCACTTTCGCGTGTAATGCATCCTCGCCAATTAACATTTCACTCATTTTTTTAAATTAAAATACATTTAAATTAAATTTTTTCAATCCGCGCGGATACCGCAAACGTTGTTCCGTTCTTGCATACGTGATCATAAAGCAAATTTATGATTCAAAACATTTACGTACAAAGACAAATAAATTCGCGTGGGGAAGGTGTGTTATGACTTATGGATGGCATGGGTGCCACCTAAAAATATTCTCTAAGCTTCATGAATAATATATCTTCACGACGAAAGACTAGAGCAACTTGCTGCAAAGTCGGTGAAACAAATGTCAAGAATATCTCGAATTTCTTTACTTAAATGAGCTTTCGCATTTCACGAAGCGATCGTCCAACTCGACTGACGCGTAAAGTTCGTTCCGAAATGGATCCACATTTAAATGTCATTAATTCATTCATTTATTCCATCGGTCCGCGGCGCTTCTCTTCGCGTACATTGTCACATTTAAAAATTACATCCGCGAAAAAACGGAAAGCATAATAATTTTCTGATACTTTTCCTGAATATTAATTGGATTGGAATATTTATAAATGTTAATTGCGTAGTCCTTCTCCCTTCTCCAATTCTTCGCGAGTAACGATAACTCGTTTCGTTTAGCATTTATAATGTAGTTTTATAGCTTCTGGATTTAATCCACATCGATAAAAGATTCACAGAAAGAATAATTTTACTAAAATATCTAAAAATTTAATTAGATACGGATCTAAAATAATATTGTTGAATCATTAAGATAATTATGCAGAACGCTCGAATTAGTTACTAAATGTCAAAACTTTTTACTCATCACATTGAGTTTCCTACGTAATTATTTAGATGGTCCAATCAAATTATTTAGATCTATATCTAGTTAAATTTTTAAATACTTCAGCAAATTCTTTCTTTCCGTATTCGATATAACGAAGCTCTTTGTATAAAATATATAGTTCTTGTACTTTGAATAGTTCGAATAACTTTGGTTAATCATACGGTATTGCATGCCTCCGATGTTTCATCAAAATTGTATCTAATTTGCAAAACTTTAGCGTATATATCACGAGAGTGTTCAGAACGAGACTCTCATCGCAACATTCCTAGTTCCAGGAACTGAGTATAATTATAAAATAAAATTGCTCCTCGTATATGAGCAACAAGTTCTCATCGTACAATTATACGTTATTTGCATGTTGTATAATTTTGTCATCTCTATCGCAGAGCTGGACCTCGATTATTTAGAAAGAAGAGGCGGAAATACAATAACTTACGAGGGCGCTGAAGGAAGCTCAAAAGAGGAAGATAGCCCTGCGGACACATTAGATCGTGTTAAGGTTATCTTCCTAGGTGCACCCGGCGTAGGAAAGACGAGTATAATCCGAGTAAGATTTAATCCTTACGCCTTTTCGGTATATACCCGACTTATCTTTTTAAAGATTTTTCCACCGCCTGTAATTATTGTTTTATTAATAAAAGTATATACATTTGTTTAATGCCGTTATGTTATTTAATGTCTGGCGTTGCGATTAAAAAAAATTTCTTATATTTGTTCATTTTTATGGAAATTATAAATAATCAAGTTGAATTAGGTACGTCATGTACATATATCAGTTGTTCCTGTAGTGAGGCGTTTAAAGGTTAATAGACATGATTGCATCTCTCAATTAGATGTTACTTTTATGTACTTTACGTGGAACTACTCTTTGCCCTGCGAATCTCTCAATTAATCTTTTGAATATGAAACGCGCAGCTTCGAAATTCTAGAGAATCTAGAGAATCTAATTATCTCAATATAGAGACATTTAAATTAACATAATTTAAAATTTGGACATTATAAATATGTTACATCAGTCTTACATTTAAACGATGTAATTTTTATTAATCCGACAAAAAGCGAAGAACCTCCCCGATAACTATGTAAATATCTTATATGCATAAAAAAGTGATTCGTACGACGTGCATTCGATCGACGGGAATCTTTGTCAGAATCTTTGTTTCAAAGCAGAGAAGGAAACAAATCGTGGAAACGAGTCACTCGGACGCTCCGTTCATTTCCGATAATAGTTTCCGCTTATCGATGACGACGATTATCGGCTCTCCGAGGAAATTAAAAGGCAGAACGAATATCCTAAGAAAGCCGAGTCACTTTTTGACATTTCTTTTAATAGACGAAATTTAAGTTCAAATACCTGCTTGCGCGGGAGAACTTTCAATCGATCGTACACGAAACGGAAGGTTTCACTAAAGTATCTAAAAACTAAAGTATCTAAATACAGATTTGTTAACTAGATAAATTAATTAAATACAGACACAGAATAATTTTATTGAATTATTAAAATAATTACGTAGGACGTTTAAGAGTTGGTTGCTAGAATGTCAAAACTTTTTGCAGCATTGCACGTCATGTTTGAAAATCCTACATAATTATTATTATTTTGATGGTCCAACAAAATTTTTTGTTTTTAGATCTATATATTTACTATCTAAATCTCTTGGAATAAAAATTAAGCCAGTCTTGAAAAAAAGAGTGAAAATTTTTTATTTTTACTCTTCAACAAAAATTTCAACAACAAATTTTCACTTTTTTAAAATTTCATCCTTTTGGATTAAAATCCACTCCAAAGAAATGAAATTTCATTCCTTTTTTGGAAAGAGATTTTATTCTTTAATTTAGAATGATTTTAACTCCAAAAAAGTGAAATCTTGCTCCAAAAGAATGAAATCTCATTCCTAGGGAATGAAAATCTGCTACTCTTGTTTAAAAGTGAAAATATTTTCATTCTTTTTTCAAGACTGGTTTAATTTTCAATCTTTTGGAGATTTCACTTCAAAAGATTTAGAGAGTAGCTAAAATTTTAAATACTTCAGCAAAGTTAAATACTTCAATAAAACGTTCTTTCCGTGTAATAATAATATCTATCTCTCTGAAAAGAAAAGAAAGTTTTACTTTTAAAGATTGAAAATTGAGCCACTCTTTTTCAAGACATTCAATTTTTACTCTTTAGAATGATAGAATGAGATTTCATTCCAAAGAATTTAGAGAGTAGGCTCCGAATCCGTAATTATTTTTACGAATTACGCGATATTTGTTTACGCTTCCAGCAATTCGTCTGGAGCGAGTTTTCCGAGGAGTACAGACCGACCGAGAGGCGGGAGACATTTTATCCGAGCGTGGTGCTGGCCGATCGATTATACGAATTGAAGATCACCGATTTGCCCACCATCCCGTATTTCCCGGTCAGTTCGCACTTGGAATGGACGGACTTTCGTTATTATGGACTGCGAAGTGCAACAGCGTACGTGCTTGTATTTGATCTCAGTAATCAGGACACGTTTCAGGTACGTACAATTGAAATTTGATGTTAAAATCGCGATAAATTGTGGATAGGCCACTTGCAGGACAGAACTTTAACTTCGGAAAGAACGTCAGGAACACGGCAAAACGTAGCTCGCGCTTATATCTTTTTTGTTAAGTTTTTCTTGCAAGCCTTTTCCCTTCTCGCGAAAGCCGTCACGACTTTCGACTTGAAGTCGCATCAAAGTTGCTGGCATAAAAGTTTGATTATGTGGATGTTTGTCTGGATGACGAAAGGTGGTCTCTCGAGGACAAAACGTAGCGCAAGTTAAATGACGTTAAATCGATTTTGCTAATAATAAGTCAAAAGTATAAATGAAAAACCGTGACGTTGATAACATTATTAAACAAGAAATGAAATAATACAATAAGTAATTAGCAACTGCAAGAAAAGAATCTTCCTTCGTACTTTACTTTGTTTAAAAGTATTCTAACTTCTAACATTAAAATTACTAAGATAGCCTATACATACAGCTTCTCAATATAACAAAGTATAATATTGAAGGATTTAAAATAATTTATGAAATTTTTAGTTAACCCTTTTATATCTAACTTTTTTTTAACAAAAAAAAATTAATTATAAAAGCTACTTTAATTGTAAAATTAATAAAAATTTAAGCCAATGCAAACCGACGCAAGATAACTTTAATTATTTTTTTATTTTATAAATAATTTTTTATATTTTCGAATATATAATAATAAAAATGCCAATACCATCTTCTTTATTTTTAGACAATAGTTTTATATGTCCATCGATTTAGTTCATTAGAGCCTTAATATTTTAATTTGTTTTATATTATATAATAGAGAGTATCTATCAGTTTATTACAATATTTTTTTTTATTAAAGTTTAAACCACGATTTATTTGTGAAAAATGTGTCTTATTGTGTATTAGGGTCTGATTTTGACAGTGTCGGTGTCTTAAATGATTTAATGTTTAGATAAAATTTGTCGAATATGCTTCTACAAGTGGCCCAGCGCGTGAAAAGGCTAAATGTGAAAGCGCCGGTATATTTTTCTTTAATTTCCGACCGAAATTGTGTTCAGTATATTAGAACGTTACGCGAGCAAATCTACGAGGCGCGCGACATGAGAGGCGTACCATTGCTGGTGGTCGGGAACAAGCAGGACGAACTGTCACAGACCGTCGCTTCCGGGACCAGGTACAGGGACATCGTGAACCTCGTCCGGAAACACTGGAGATGTGGTTACGTCGAGTGCAGTGCCAGATTTAACTGTCGCGTAGTGCAGGTGCGCGGTATACATTATTTATCAATCTGCCCGCTCTGCCAATCTCATTCGTATTAAGATTAACTTAACTCCTTTAAAATTTTAATGTGCACATCAATTACCGTTCATATTTAACATTTAATACCAAAATTATGAGTATTAAAACGAGATTACTGAAATTCTCGCCGAGGAAATATCGACGTTGAAAAATTCATCGGGAAGAGCTTGAAAATAAACTCGGGATTTCCCGTTTTTTAGAATTTCGTAAAATTTTTCGTAACATTTTTAGAATTTTTTTTAAATTTTAAGGGCACCAGAAACGCGCTTTTAAAACGCAATTTATTGCAAAAGGTAGCTTTTTGTGTTTATACGAATTCCAAATTCTAACTTGAGATGCAACTTAGTTTTTTAAAAAATCGACAATAAATGAGATCTATCGTCTTCTCAAGTAATTAATCAATTCAATGATCTCAAAATTTGTATACTTATTATTATAATTAAAAAAAAAAAAAAAACTAAAGGATGTTAAAGTTAGGATTTTTCTTAACACGTAACGCGAAGAACTTTCGCAACAAACCGCATTTCAAAAGCATGTTTACCTTGAAAACCGGTCTTTCCTTACTCTGTCCGTTTCTTCAAAATTCACAATCAATCTGCACAACTTCAATTTGTAAAACAATTATTTGCATTGCCTCTTAAAAGAGATTGTGAGTTAGGAAGACTACAGCAACTTTCCGATATCTTTTGATTGACAGGTATTTCGGGAACTGATGAAGAGCATACAGGCAATAGAAGGTAGGCCGAACTCGCCGTCACCAGCGGCCATACAACCAATGCGATCCCATCAGCACGATACCAGCGAGAGGTGCATTCTTCTTTGACATTAAGACCAAATCGCTTCCCTGTTACGAGGCAGTCGATCGTACAATGCAACGTCATATATCGCGTATCGTATACTTGCCCGCGAGCAATGAAACCGGAGTAATGACAACTCGAAGAGCATGTCACTCGAGGCACGAGAGAGTCAAGAGTGGTAGAATACATCGTACATCGGGGGGATGACTCTTCTAAGACTGCACAAGAGTGCTAACGTGCACAATCACGCGAGCGAGTGGACGAGTGAAATAACAAGTTTCGAAATAAGCGACAATAATAATCGAGATTTATGCCAACGGCGAATTCGCTGCGACATTGCGATTTAATCGCCGAATTATATATATCGGAGATTTCGCGCATAATTTAACGGGGCTCATTCGGTGAAATCCCGCCGATTCAACGGAAAGGACCTGTCTCTTCCCGCAGTATTCAAATTTTGTATTCATGTTAATCGCATTTGCATATTTAAACAATCTTCCTTTATACGTAGATCGTCGATTACGATACTAATGTAGTAATATTACAATATTATAACGATAATTATCATTTCCTAGACGAATCAATTTTACGCAGTAAAATTACTTTTACGTGTGTATACCGATTTTCAATGAGTTATGCAGATCTCTAGACGGAAATGAGATCGTCCATAGGATTTAACACGGGTTAGAATGCTCAGAAGACTATTAAATAGCATAAAAATTAGAAGGAAAAAAAAAAACGAGACAAGAAGGTAGCGAAATGCAGCGCGGAACTCCTCTCAGCTCAACCCTTTCCCGCGTTCGGCCTAATTATATTCACGCAGTAGGTAGGTACTCGGTAAGAGAACGAAGCAATAGTACATATACATATACATATACATATATTTTACTATGCTGTTAAGAGAGTTAATTGGTTATCAATCTAACGGTCAGTGTCGATCGCGAGAAAATCGTGTAATCGTTATAATACATTGTCGACATGTTACATGTATACATAGATTATACTGGCATATATCGTGTGTTAGCGTTGTTACCGTTTGTATGTACTCTACGAAGGATGCTATGTGCACGTAATTTCTACATTAGGTCCTTCTCGAGATAAGACGCATCCCCGTGACTCATCGCGACGCGTTAATACCGTCGCGCGCCACACATCAGTGACACCAGCAATAGAGAAGAGAGCGTCTCATCGACATTATTATCTGTTACATTCGAACGTTCGAATGCGCATGTTAAAGAGTATACATCACATATATATACGACAGGGGCATAAAAGATACGTAAGATCGCTCAATTTCAATTTGCACAAACGCAAGTTAACCGTTTTGTAACCGGCGCGAGTTACGCGCAAACGACAGCAAACGATGGGAACGACCGGCAGAGTGATACGCGATCCCTTATTTTGTATGCACATGCACGACGTTCGCAATAAAAACGCCAGTGAGACAGTACCACGTGGCATATCACTTTTTTCTACACGTCGCCTAAACGTTTACTTGATTTTAATTTTTAATTCGTCGAAAGCTGGCACGTTCTACTCGCGGAACTTTATCTCGCTTCCTTACAGTAAGCCTCGTTAGTCACTTACTTATACCATACTAGTGACAAGTTAGAATTATAAGTCATAAATCTTAGGGAACTTACATGCAGAATAAATCATTTTAGACTATTGTTACGTCATAATATGTCAGCCAATCAGAAGAATGATAGTTCTCGGGGAAAAATAATACCTGCACTGTATGATTAGTCAATTATAAAGTCAATCAAAGTAAAGTAATTTAAATAAAAAATTTTTAATTGTAAAAAATGAAATTTGATTAGTGATTCTGATTACTGACTTATTGTTGACTAACTGTTTATTATTATAGAAAGTCCATTTCCAAGGAACACATCAAGTCAAGAGAAAGTCAAGATGACTTTATTTTGACGCCATGAAAGTCGGGTGACTTTTTTATTCAACTTTTTTATCAACGTTAAGAATTAAAATTAAGTCATTTTGATTTTTTGTTAATTTTTGTGTGTGTTTCTTAGATTAGACTTTTCTCGAGCAGAACATATAACTCATCATGACATTAGAATGATGTTAAAAAGATTCCAAAATAATTACAAAAAGTCACTTTTTAATCAATTATGATATATATCGTTTTGGGTTATTTAGTTTTATTTTTCAATGATGCCCATAGAAGTCTTCTTAAACAGAAGAAGACTGCTTGAAGTAAACGCATTCAAGGTCTCGCTTCTGATTTTTCTTTGGACTGAATGTGTCAAAATGTTTCCAAGATGATTTAATACATGTGAAAAATTCTCCGTTTAATTTGATATAAAACATAAATTCAAGTTATTACAAGAAAGGTTATCGTTACTTCATCTTATATACTTTCCACGTAGCGTATTAACCGTTAATTTGGATTTGATTGAACAAATTATTACGAAAGATGTTACGTCTGTCGAGAGGACTTCAGTGTGAAAAAGCCTATCTATTCGCTCTGCGGGACGGGAGGAAAAGTTGCATCACGCAATTTCCCGGCGACAGAAAGGTCAACTTTGGAACAGGCGAACGACACGTACTGACGGTTGGAACTAATTTATCAAAGTACGCGAGATCGCGCGAATGACTAATTCGCAAAATTCGCGAATCCTATCAAAGCGGTGCCGCTTAATTTACTTGAGATATAAACAGTCTTCCGAAAAATACAATAAATATGGAATCTGTCATTCAAAGGTGAGCAAAACGAGAGGAGAACCCAGTACGAGCACAAATCTAAAGGAAGCCCTCTGCGAGAAGATTCCCGTGCATCACGATCTTATAAGAAACTTTCGACTTAACTTCGGTCCAAGTGTCATCAGTCAAATCACGGTCGAAAACCTGTACACAGGATTAAACGATGTAAAAACTATCGTCAAGGAAACCTCGGAACTTGATCCTAAACATGGTGTAATCATAAAATGTTTAATCATTAAGAGACAGGATACTTTTAAATTATTAAAGGAATAATTACAATAGATGCATTAATAAAATAAATGACACTGATATATTAAAAAATATAGATATTAAAGATAATATATATTTTATCTTTTAAATGTGTACGTGTGTAAAAGGTGATATAATTTTATCAATTTGTTAAACTTTTCAATCAAAGTTAGATGTTATGAATAGAATATATATTCTTAATTTTTAAATTTATTTATTTCAAATATGACTGTGAGCCAAATCATTCGGATATTACCCACAATCGATGTGAGATACTAAAAATATAAGGAGCCGAAACATTCGGACACTCATATTGTATAAAATAATCCCCCCTAAATTATTTCGGTAAAGAATTTATTGCGAAAAATATTACCTCATATCCTGGCATCGATTATGATTAATATAATGTCCGAATGTTTCAGCGCACAGTCATATTTAAGATAATTAAATTTAAAAATTAAAAATATATATTGCATTCATAACATCCAACTTTGACCGATCTTTGGCGCTCTCTACCATATGTATGCTGTACATTTACACGGTCGGATTTTATTTCTTATTTGTTAAACTTTTTATTTCTATAAAACTTTAAATTTCGTAAAAATGTATCAGATATTAAATTTTTAAGAATTTCAAGCAATGTTTACAACTCCTAGGATATATTCACAATTTTCTTCTTTAAGAGAAAGAGAGAGAAAGAGAGAGAGAGAAAGAGAGAGATTTTAACGTTAAAAATAAAATTTCTCTAGATTGTGTACCGGGGATTAACTATACCGGAAATGATCGCTCTACTGCCTCGCGAAGGAAACTCGCCAAGCGCAGAGGCTGTGTTTTGGTTCCTCCTAACTGGTGACATTCCTACACAGCAGCAAACTGCTTCATTGATCGCCGACTGGACGTTACGACGTAAAAAATGTACAGAATGGTGGTCGGGACCACACGGCGAAACAATAGCTTCCGTTCTGCGTTCAATGCCCGAAACAATTACACCCTTGCATAGATTGTCAGTCGCGCTCACAATTTTCAACATCAGCAAACAGGCGAAAGAAGCTAAAAAGCACGGTGCCATGCCTTACACTTACTGGGAGGTAATTGAAGATAATATTATAACACATTATAAAAATTTACTGAATAAATAAAAACCTTCGAAGAATTACTTACAAGATTAATATTGCAGATAATAATAATCGAAATGTTTTCTTTCTAATAAAACACATAATAAAATATTTGAAACATCAAAATAAAAACGTAATTATGTCTCATTAACAAAATATGAATAAAATTATATAAATAGCAAAAAATATTGATTTAAGATATCAAATTTTTATTTCTAAAAGTAAAGTATATAGTTTCACTTATGAATTTGTATAATTGAGCCAATTATAGCAGAAAAAGAATAATGTAGTTTTCTGTATGTAAAAACGCATTTTTAATTGTAAAAAATTTTCATCAACCATGTACTGATATTATACATTAGTTAGCAAAAAATAACATTTACTTTTATTTTAAGTATATCTACGAAGATAGTATGGAATTTCTTGCAACCTTACCAGCAATCATCGGTTTGATTGCCAAAGGCCAAACGTTGACAAATGTGAGCGGTGATGGCGATTGGGTGCAATTTTTGTTGGATTGTTTGAGAAACGTGAACGAGAGTTTAGACGGCCGAAAATCATCGATAGCGGATTTTCTCAGATTATACATCACTTTAAATGCGTAAATTTTTCAATTCTCCTGTGATACAAAAATTTTCATTTCTGTTAAAAATAAATTTAAATGTTAAACATACATTTAAAAAACAATGAAGCTATAATTATAAAAAGTATTAAGTCATACCTATTTAATAAACTAAATAATACAAAACCGTTATAATTAAAATATAAAAATTCATTTCGTGTAAATAATAGCGCGATAACTGTGAAATTATATCTTTCAATCGAATTAAGTGTAAAGGGAAAAATACAAGAGAATTGAATGTCTATCTTAACCCTAGTGACGATGACGGCGGAGCTCCGATTGCTCACGTTACGCAAATTTTGGGTTCAACTGATCTCCATATAAATGAGGTATTAGCGAGCATCGTTTTAGCGTACGTAGAAGAGCCTAAAAGTGGAACAATGTTGGAGGTAAAACAGCATGAATTATGAAAAAATTACACATATATATGTAATACATCTAATATAATCATAAATTATTGTTATAATAATATATTATAAATATTATATATATATATATATATGTGTGTGTGTGTGTGTGTGTGTGTATTGTACAGTGGAAAGAATTACAAATAAAAATCAAGAACATTCTCGGCCGAACGTGGACGGAACATGCCTTAAAAACCTGCGTGCTGAATTTATTAAACAGAGACAAATTGATAGGATATAAGGTGGCCGATTTTTGTGATCCACGATATACCGCACTCCTGCATTACGCCAAGCAACATTTGCCCAATTCGGAAATAAAGGTACAAAAATAAAATCGTCCAGAGCGAGAAAAAAATATTGATTCTTATAGAAGAAACAAGCCATAAAGCTAAAAACTTCACAGCTCTCGGAAGATATTACACGAATATTAAGAACGACATTAAGACATTCGAAAAGGAAGGACATTTATCCAGAACAGAATGCCTTGGCCCCTGTCATTTTTCAGGTAGAACCGCTGTGTTTTTATAGTAGAAAATAAATTTTAGTGTGCAAAAACATTCAACTTGCACATTTTTGTTTGGCTATTATTGTATTTACTATTGAATTTTA